ATACACGCAGAGTACACATATACATGTATAGTTATTCATATCCAACAAATGTAAATATTTATATCTGCATGGTATTTAAAAACAGAAGCTTGCGATTTCTATAGAGATAAAATTGATGTAATAGCATGGAAATAGATTGAGATATTTATCAGACATGGACACATATTCCAAATATTTTATATTTGAACTGTCACCCATACTCCCAATTGAATCGCAGTGTTTTTCTTATCTGATATATGCTTAACCCTATTGTAAGTGGTGGAAACAATTACTCATTTGAGCTCTCATATTTTCAGCATATTTGATCTTGTCAAAGAGTGTGCCTTTGACTATCAGTTAACATATTTGTTGGATGGAGCAATAAACAAACAACAAAAGTGTGCTAGTTACAGGATGGTTAAATGTCACATAACTCTCGGTTTTGTAGTCCATAAAAATGTCAATGACCTACCTTTCAGAGAGCACATGCTTTGAGTTTTGCCACATTGGCAAAGAATTCAGCAAAGTAATTTCTTTTGGGCTCTTTTGGCCAAACTGTATATATTTTTTGAGAAAACTCTCAGAAGTTAGAGCATGAGTCCCTGAGACAGAGCCACGCTAGTTGACACCTGGAAAGCTTAGACCTGCATCCTTGGCCCCAGAAGATTTGTGGTCTAATCTCTGGAAAGCCTTGTAAGAGTGGATGAAGAAGGAGGCAAAAGGAGGGAAGGAGTTGTAGTCAGAATCCTCTGATTCGTGGGTATAGCTCACAATGTTAGGAATTGGATAGTTGGGCATGTAAGTATGAAGTATTTTGAAATTATTGGACTTTAAACTTTTGCTCTCAACTTTTATATTCTGCAGAGGCCTCATGACGAACAGTCGTTTAAGTCCAGGCATTAGCCAGACTTTGCCCCTTACCAACGCCAGATGTTATCCTTGTACATCATTCCCCGCCCTCATTGATCTGCAGAGTGTAGAGGCCGCCCATTGGATAACATCAGCTGTAGATGGCATGCGTTTCCCCAGGTTAGTGGGAATTTCATCCCCTCCCTCCTACCTCTACCCATGATAGTGTATTTGAACCCAAGGGAGTAAAAGGGGCATTATTAAAGGAACAACTTTGAATTCACAAAGCATTTGCTAATTTTAGTTCAGCATTACTTGTAATAAGAAAATGTTGACATTTCATAACTGATCTCACATTTATATCTGCCTATACAATGTAGCCGAGATTTGCTGATCTATGAAATCAATTGAATGTTACTATCACAATTATCAATAGCTTTTTAAAAAATATTTTGATTACACAAATAATACACTATTAATCCAGAGAAGATGAAAAGAAATTAAAAACACTTGCACACGTTCCTCTAGCCAAAGATAATCAGAGTTAAAATAATGGGCACAAGAAATGCTTTTTCATCAAAGCTCTAGGTATGTGTATAAATTTTCACGAAAATAGGATTATATTATACATATGGATTTTTATCTTTTAAGTTAATATTATACCTTAAACATATTTCCATATCACTTAATACACATTTAAATCATAATTTTGACTAACTGTGTGTTCCACTATATAGATATAACACAGTTTGTCCCTGTTATTGGACATTGTAGTTATTTCCCATTCTTTTGCCAACAATGCTATGATGAAATCATTGTGTATTCATCTTTTCACATTTAGCTAGATTGTTACCTTAGGATAAATCCTTAGGAATAAATTTGCTGATTGGAATAGTAGGGGAAATCCCAACTTGACATTGTAGCCATATTGCCTTCCGGAATACCTGTACCTATTTAGACCCCCAGCAGCAGTGAGAGCCCAGATATTATCATGGTAAATATTTTCCAGTTTGAGAAAGAAAAGGGTATCTCACTGTTATTGTCTTTTACGTTTCTAATATTATTCATGAGGTTAAATCATTTTTTTGTGTGTGTACAGAGACAATTTTCCTTTTGGATGAACCGTGTGGTAGTTAAGAGGGTACAGGCTTTGGAATTAGGATGTGTGGTTCCACTCCTGGTTCCAGTATTTACTAGCTCTGTGGTCTTGGGCAAGTGACTTATCTACCATGTATTTCAGCTTCTTCATTTATAAAATGGAGAAACCAACCGTGCCTTCCGCACCAGCTTGGGGTGAGGAGTAAAAGAGATATTTTATATAAAATACCTTAGCGTAGTTCCAGGAACACAGTAAGCGTTGAGGAAATGCTAGAGGTTGCTAGAGAGATTTTCAAAGTGCTAATAGCATCCACATGTGTCTTCCTGTGTTGGGATGGCAGTGAGTCAAGGGCTAGCTTTATGGGCTCAATCTGAATCGGTCTAATTTGATCTTAAGTCTAGAGAAGCTTAAGAACTTCAAGTGTGGGTACAACCTCAAGCTGGTCTTAGAACCATATCAGAGTCCCAGCAGAACCCTGGCGTGAGGGGAACCCAGGGTCTTTTCATATTGTATTTCAGAGATTAGACAAGAATTTCTTTAGAACCTGTGTATGGTTTCCTTCCATCAGGTCCTATAACACTTGCCTATACCTGAATCGACCCCTACTGTTTAGGAAAGAAACCCTGGCCAAAGAAGAAATTGTATTTGAGGAAGCGAAAACACTGCCAGAGCCAGAAGTCTACTTGGAGTAGGAGTCTGTGGGCTTGCTGGCAAAGAGGCTGAAGTCCTAGACTTGCCGATGGCCACAGAGCCCATGTGGCCATGGATATTTCAAAGACATTTCTTAATCTTGTGAGAACTTTTCATCCATCTGTGTGATTTTTGATTTGAGTGACCAGCTGCTTTTAAATAGACTAAGCATATGACACGGGCACTCAAGTACATCTTGAGAAGCAAGATGGAATTTACTCACTTAAAACTGCATTTCTGTCCTTCCTGCATGGTTCACCCCTAAATTATCTTTTGTCAAAGCGTCTAACATTGTAAGAAAGACTCCTGCCACCCATTTTTCCAAATAAACAGCACCTTTTCATCCCAGAGCCAGCTTCTTCAGGCTGACTATGGTTGCCTTTTTAGTGCAATTTAAATGTGGGTTGGTTTTCACTAGGATTGCAGGAGAATAAGAGAGGGAGAAGTTTCAAAGCATATGTATTGTGCCTTGCGGCACAGGTGAGAAAGTACTTCAAGGGGTTTTGAACCTGGATTTACCTCCGTTTTCTAGTGCTGACTGAAATGCAATCAATAAGCCCGCCTAGTTAAGAAATGAGTAATTTCAGAGATTCAGGAACACTTCCTACTGGATCGGGTTATTTAGCACAGGTGTTTTAATAATTGTAATATATTGAAAAACCTCACACTGCTGGGTGGCCCTCACATTCACAGTGGTTGCCTCCTGCTTGGGCCCAATTCTGCCCTGGAAGACAAGGGGAATTGTGAGCCCGCGGTAATTTCAAAGCAGTGCCTCAGACTGAAATTGGATAGTGTTTGAGATCTGGCAGCTGCGACACCTTTGTCTGGGTTGAGCTTGAAGTCTGTGCTTTCTGGAGGCATTTCTTTGTATCTGCATTTACAATTAGCACATTGCAAAAGAGGGATGGAAGCAAGGACCATACACTGTGCGGGAATCAGAGAGACTCCCACATGCCACTCATTGCATTTTTTCCCAAGGAATCTCAGGAGCACATGAAGCACAGGTGGTAACGTGATGGAGGGGAGGGTGAGTGTAAGGGGGGTGATAATTGATGGGGGCCCGGAGTCCAGACCGCAGCTGTCCCCAGGTGCGCCCAACTGCATCTGTTCTTCTGTGAGGTACCACGCGGTAGCAGGTTTTGGATTATTTAAGCAGGGGAAACAAATCAGGAAAGTTAACAAAGCTCTCGGAGGAGGAAGGTGAGGAGGTGCGATTGCCACATCTGAGGAAGGAAGCTTTCAGGAAGGGAATAAATTGGTTCAGGGGGGTTGGCACCCAGTATCAGAGACACCCTCCCTTCATATCACCTGTGAACTTTGTGGTTCTGAGAAAGATGTGCAGGTGGAGGTGGAGAACTCATTGGCTCCACACTGTCCCGCTCTTTTCAGCAAGTGTTGGATTTTTATCATGCGGTGAATTTGTGTGAAACGTGGAGGGGAATTATAAAACTGAGATGAAGTTGTACTCCTTCTGTCTTCATTGGTTTTTTTTCCTTTCTTTTTTTTTTCATCTTTATTGGGACTCCAGGAAGGAAATAGAACTATCTGCAGCTACCAGGAATGTTCTTCCAAGCCAGTGTTCCCCCCGAGGTCTCCCTGATGCAATGATATTGGTAAAAGAAATAAATTCATTTACTGGATGTGATACTTAATGCAGGCCTGAGCCTGGAGTCCCACTGTCTGTCCTGAGTCAGTGAGGAGGAAGGCCAAATTGACAACATTGGGATGATGGGAAACCCAGGCTATTTGTCATCCACAATTCAGATCATATGATATATTTTGAGATTTCTCCTGACATAGTTTATATTGGAAAAGTCTTGAAAAGTCTTCGCAGTGTAACAGTAAAATCTGACAGTGAGAGAAGCCTGTTACTTCTTTTCTTTCTTTAATATATATAACTTTTCAAAGATAGTGTTAAGGGTTTACCTATTTTGATTTACGGGAATATAAAGACATTGTAAGAGAAGTTAGGTGAGAGTATAATTGGAAGTTTTCTTGCTGTCTCATGATGCTTCCTACGTTAAGTGACTTTGTCAGATAATTTCTTCTGTGGAGTGAGTGGCTTGTGGGGTGGCCATTCAGAGGAAGCGGTGCTGAAGGAGAGACATGGCGGATCCGTGCAAAGGGTATTCTCTGCACCTTAAAAAGTGTATGATGAAGAATGTATTGTCCTGGGTGCTAACAAATTACTACAAAAGGCAAATTCTTCATAAGGAATTCTGATAACTGTTTACTATAATATTTGGGCTTGAATTACTTTTATTCTTCTGCATTATGAAAAATATATCAATTGACATATTTAGTATACGCTTTTTAAGCTGTGTGGAGAAAAATATAAGGCTCCTAATTCAAGAGGAATGAGAATAAAGCAAATAAAATCAGTCTATGGAATGCTTTGAAATAAACAGATTTACTTTAGGCCAAGAGACAACACTTTTGTTTTCAGTGTTACAACCCAGGCAGTTTTGAACATTTGGTGCCAACTTTTAAAAGGTGTTCTTCATTGATTCTTGGCTAAACTCACTGAGTCCATCAGATAGCATGCTTTTGGCTGCAAGTAACAGAATATAGTATTAAAAGTGGATTAAACAATGAGAAGAATTTCTATGCTCAGAAACAGGAATGTTGGAAGTAGACAATTCCAGAATTTGTTAAATCCGTGGCCCAGAGATGATGCTAATGATCAAAGTTCTTTCTGTCTTTCCATTCTCCCAACCTCAGATTGTTGGCCTTTTCCTTCAGTTTGTTTCCTCAGGGAAACAAGATGGTTGCTGTAGTCCTAGATACCGTGTCCTCACACAACCATGTGGAGAGACAGAGAAGAGGAAATTCTCCTTAAGTGTCTCTTTTGTCAAGGAGGAACATTTTTTTCAGAAGCTCTTTAGCAGATTGCCACCTAAGTCTCATTGGCCTCACTGGGGTTGTATCACAGCCGTTGCCTCAGCCAATCACTTGCAAGACAAATAGAATCACCAAGAATAGCTTAGATTAATTGAGACATTGCGCATATTAAATTTTGATACAACTGTTTTCGTTCTGGGACATTTCTATATGCAAAATCCACATTTCCTGATCCTAAGAGAATAACGTTAAATTTAAAAGATAATTATTATTTAACGAAAAAAGTTGTTTTAAAAAATCGTCTAGTATCATGACACTTAACACTATCCCTGCATTGAACTGTCAGCCCCCTGAGAGAAGGAGGTTTCCATCCTGTGTGACGTACCCCAGTGCATGGAATCATGCCTGACCAGTGGGAAAAGCTCAATCAGCATTTGTTGAAGGAATAAATTCCTGCTCCATATCCATCCCAGAGCCCCACTGGGTCCCTCCTTGTGTCCTGATTCTCTCATCCATGAACTTCTCTCTCTCCCTGATCCATCCTGAAGTCCCACCACGTGCCTCAACCAATATCTGAGCCTTATCCATTACTTCCTCCATTGCTGAAGTCCTGTGCATTTCTCTGCCCAGCTCCAATGTAACCCCACCCCCTCTCCAAAGCTTCTCCAGTTATTTCCAAGAGCCATTGATGGTATCTCAGGTGTCCATGAACATTTCTCCCACATCTCAAAGTCTGCCTGCCTGGTGATATGTCCCCTGTGAAGCCATTTGGGAGGGGTGCCTTGCTATGGCCACAGAGGCTGGTACTCACCCCCACCAAAAAAAAAGAATCACTGATGCTTGTACTGAGGGAGCTGCCTGCCAGCTCTCAGGTCTGTAAGCCCTCGCTCAGTCTATCAAAGTGGTGCTGGATTTCCCCAGGGGTTCTCACGGCTTCAGGATCACACAGTGATCTTTGCTCTTGGTAGAGAAAACAAGCAGGCTCCGTTTCTCAGGGTGGCACAGTTTCTCATACAATCACCAAGTAGGGCTTCTTACCTTTGTCGTCTTCCAGAGTTCTTCAGTTTCTTCCTGGGAGACTTCAAGCCCCGGCATGAGTCCTCAGGCTGGGGAGCAGACACCACAATATTGATTCTGTTTCTGTTGCCCCTTGTGAGAACTCAGTATCTTTCCATCCTCTCCTTCCTTCATTTCCTACGACACAACTGCAGGAATTCCATATAGCCTGGGCTGGGAACACCAACAAACACACTTGTAATTCTCCATTTTCTCCCTTCCTAGAGGAATATAAGGTGCTTACAGCACAAAGGCCTATAATGAGTAGAAGGTGTTAGAACCACCTGGAGGAAGGACTTGATCCCTTGCAATTTGGACGTGTCTCTCATTCCACAGTTCTGTGATTTGTTTGTAAGCAATGCTCGCGTGCCACCGTGGGTGCCCTGTACACGTCCTCTCAGTATTTGCCTCTATAAGCTCCCAAAGCTGCTTCTGCAAGCATTGCCACCTCTCTCCAGAAGGCTCTTCTTCTGGTTGCTGGAGGATGGGTGGCTTGGCCACACGGCAAGCTGAAGAGTTAAAGACCCTAGAAGCAGCTCTCAGCAGGCCGATGAGGAGTTGGCGGATAAACATCTGACCTCCTCTGCCCCTTAGTTGGATAATTCTGAGGGGTGTTCCACACTATCTCGCACAGTTCTCCAGGAGCTCTGGGTCTCAGTCGTCCAGAGTGATTATCTCCTTGATAATGCACACTTTATTGGCTTTTATCTCCTTGTTGTGTCACTTCCCCATTCCCTTACCAGAGTTTCCTGGGATCATGTTCCAGATACTCTACTTGCATTCAAATCCTGACATCAGGGTCTGCTCTGGGGGAACCAAATCAAGACAGACATTGAAGGATATCAAGTCTATCAGGGTTAATTAAAAAAAACCCTCACTTTCAAACTTACTTGAATTGCTACTGGTGTTATATCCCCAGACCAAATTCAAGGGAATTCAGGAGTATAATTTCTCTGTGTTAGTTTCGGTAAAGGGCATGAGATATTTTGGAGACAAAAAACAAGACAATGTGAACGTGAATATTTCCAAGAATAATACCTTGAGTTTTTAGTGACATTTTCTCCCTTGTTTATAAGACGTATTCCTACAATATAAATGTACAGGAGGTTTTCTTTAAAAATTTTGACTTTCTTATGTAGTGCTTCTGTTGTTGACAGTAACTCCAACTGCCTCTTGTTTGGTACTGAAGTTCATACAACAGACTATGAGCCAAAGTTAGTGATTAACTGTTTTGAAAGAATCTCCCAAAATACACTTGTTTGTAATATGTCTTGCTTTTGTGTCTCAGGTGTAAAATAAGTGGCATTTTATGCTCGATTTGCCTTTTGCAAGCGATATGTTACGTGCAGTGGGACTTAAGTGTCTTTGTAGGACTCATATTCAGAGTAGTCGTTCCATGCATTGCCATAATCCTGGTTTGCCCGGAGGAGAGGCTTTTCATTTCCCATCTCTACTTTTATCCGGGTCACCATGAAAATGCCCAACTTCCTCCTGGAGTAGACTGATTCCATTTTAAATATAACAATTCGTAAATTATATATTATCATTCTCTGACAGTAACCTAAACTAGATTTTCCCTTTTGCAGCTCTAGAATGACATTCTTAAATAATTCCAAGTGGTTTGAATAAGTTAACCTAGCTCTATTGCTTTCTTTCTTTTTCTTTTTTTTTTTTTGGTGAGGAAGATTGGCCCTAAGCTAACATCCATTGCCAGTCTTCCTCCTTTTGCTGAGGAAGATTGGCCCTGAACCAACATTGGTACCCATCTTCCTCTATCTTGTATATGGGATGCCACTACAGCATGATGAATGGTGCATAGATCCGTGCCCAGGATCCAAACCTGTAAACCCTGGGCTGCTGAAGTAGAGCATGTGAACTTAACCACTATGCTACCAGCCTGGCCCCTTCTGCTGCTTTCTTTTGGGGGTCTAAGTTGGAGATCAAAACAGCTTATTTTAACACGGTTTGCTGTGCCTTTATTAAATTATATACATGTAAATATATATATATTAAAAGTTATTTTAAATTAGATAATGTACACAATAGGTGCCCCAGTTATATGCTTAATTCCTGAGCATTACCCTCTTCCTGCCCATGGGAATGAACTTCTGACTATGAACTGAAGGGTTAGCTGAGATGCCCTATCTCAAATACCCAAATCTTTGACTCATGAAAAGTCCAGTGCCCACCTCTGGGAGCTTCAGTTGTCATGCTTGTGTCAGGCATGGAATTCTTACCTCCCCTGAATCTGTTCACTTTAGTGGCTTCTCTGGCCCTCCTTCTTAGGCTACTGCTGTTGTGTACTTAATTGATGCAGACGTTGAAACCAGCAAACAGTTAGCCATTGATGATTAAGTTGCTAGGAACTAAAGGTTTATTTCGGTTTTGCAATTACTGCTTATAGCTTTTAGTTGTTCCCCCGCCCATTGTAAACTGTGCTGTGTAGGCAATATGCTATCTGACTCCCATTAGATTCCTATAGCTAACATCTCTCTGGAGCCTGGGTCACCATGGTAATGGGTGTTTGAGTTGCTTTTTAGGAATTAGAACCCCTTGTCCACTTCGGGCTGGTTGAAACCACCAACCCATCAACTGGGCCCATGCAGATGTCCAATAGGTGACCTTTTGACATCAAGAGACTAAAAACTCCACCCTCAGATTACGCTAACGCTGCCATTTTGTAAGCATGCGTCCTAGGAAGAGGCATGGAGTCTGACTATGCGCAGATCACCAATTACCTCACCTCTCTTCACCTCCAATCAGCTATCTCCACATTTCAGACCACCTTGACGCCTTACCCCATAAATATCCCCGAGTCCCCGTTTTTGGGAAATCGGATTTGAGACTCATTCTCCCGTTTCCTCAATTGGCTGCCTTGTGATTAAACCCTCTTTCTACTGCAATCTCATTGTCTTGGTGTTTGCCTTTCTCAGTGACTGGCAAAAAAGATCCTGGTTCAGTAACAAAATGAGACACAGCCTCTGTCCTTGGTTCCAAGACTCCCCATGCTTCATCCAGATCACAGTTCCTTAAAATACTCCCTTTGTTGTGTGTGGCTGACTTTTTGAAGATTCAGGGCAATAGAAGGCATTTACATCACAGAAACACAATCACTTTATATTAGCGTTTTATTTTTTTATTTTTTTATTTTTTTAAAGATTTTATTTTTTCCTTTTTCTCCCCAAAGCCCCCCGGTACATAGTTGTGTATTCTTCGTTGTGGGTTCCTCTAGTTGTGGCATGTGGGACGCTGCCTCAGCGTGGTCTGACGAGCAGTGCCATGTCCGCGCCCAGGATTCGAACCGACGAAACACTGGGCCGCCTGCAGCGGAGCGCGCGAACTTAACCACTCGGCCACGGGGCCAGCCCTATATTAGCGTTTTAGACATCTTTATGTGTAAATGTAATTTAGATAACCCCCTCCCCTGGGGTATTTCCCTGCTCACACCTCCCTCCAAGGTGCTCTATAATCACTCTGTTGATTTTTCCTGACTCTCTTTTCCCCCTCTCATCAATCTCAGAAAATCAAGCTCAAATTTAGTTCATTTCATTGAGAAATTCAACTGGGCTTTTGTTCTCTCTGTTTCTGGGGGTCCATCTCTTCACACCTAAATGGCCCATCAAGGGATTTTCCTAAGCAAAGACAGTTCCCTCCCCAAGAGGAATTGTGATGCCAGCTCTTAAGATAATTGATTTTCCTTTTACCCTGCTACATCGTACTATTTCAAGAGCTTTGTCACTGGTCTTCTCACATCCTGCCTTGCTCCAAACCAGTCTCTGCATGTTTCTTAAATGTCAACTTGATCTTCTCAGTGATCTTCTGTTGAAAACCTTCCCATTGTTCTCATTGCTCTGTTGCTCAAAGCTTTCCTTCATGGTGCTGTCTGCGAGAGGGGAATAGCAGCCACAATAGGAATTTCTCCCAGAACCATCTCCCTAAAGAACAAAAGACTTAATCTGCGGTGAGGTAACAACAAGGGGTGCCTTAGTGGTGGAAGACGTTGTGGAAACTCATTGCAACCGAGGGAAGAGAACAGAAAAAACCCCTCTACCTCTGGGGGAGGGGCATGCATGCAGTCAGGCCCAGTATATAGCTGGGGGACGACCAGGGGAAGACTATGTAAAGCACCTCCCCCTCAATCAGACCCAGGGAAGCTGGCCTGCCTAGAATTGAGGATTAATCAGAGCATAAGACAATGCCCTCCCCTCTCCCTCACTCAATACCAGGTTAACAAATGTCAAGTTATAATAACAGTGGAATAAACCTGGGACAGCTGCAGGAGACAGATTCTCCCTGGAGAACAGTACAAAGGGAAGACCCAAATCCAAGAGGGAAATGGACTTTGAGGAAATAACTTCTGGCACGCCAACCTCAGTCTGAAGAAAAGAAACAACTAGCAGAATTTGAAGCCTGAGGTACAATGAGAGTAACCATAGCAATAACAATCTTGCACCCAGACAACTCCTGAGTAGGTCACACAGCTTCAACACCAAAGGCCTAGGAGAAGGAAAGATGTGCTAATCTCCAAGCATAAAAATTTTTTTCCTCAGTATTTACCATTTTACACCAGATGAGCAGCTTTCAACAAAAATTATGAGACACAGGCAAAGACAAGTAAAAAAACACTCAGAAGAGACAAGGTCATCATCAGAACCAGACTCATATATGACATGGACAGTGTGCTATTGGCAAAAAGACAAACATGTAGACCCGGGAACTAAATATGAAGCTCAGAGTTGAACTCACATAAATACAGTCAACATACTTTTAGACAGAAATGCAAAGGCAATTTAATGGAGAGAAGATGGTCTTTTCAACAAATGATAAAGAAAAAACTTGATATCCATATGGGAAAAAAAAAAAAGGCTTGGCACATACCTCAAACATTGCACAAAAATAACTCAAAATGGATCATTGACTTAAATATAAGATATAAAACTATAGGGGCTGGCCCTGTGGCCAAGTGGTTAAGTTCGTGCGCTCCGTTGCAGGCGGCCCAGTGTTTTGTCAGTTCGAATCCTGGGCGTGGACATGGCACCACTCATCGAGGCATGCTGAGGCGGTGTCCCATGTGTCACAACTAGAAGGACCCACAACTAAGAATATACAGCTATGTACCGGGGAGCCTTGGGGAGAAAAAGGAAAAAAATAAAATCTTAGGAAGATATAAAACTATAGAACTTCTAGAAGAAAATCAATATGACCTTCGGTTTGGCAAAGAGTTTTTTAATCATGAAATCAAAAGCACAATCTAAAATCAAAAAAATTGATAAATTGAGCTTTATCAAAATTATAAACTTTTACTTTGTGAAAGACACTCTTAAGAGAATGAAAAGAAAGACCACAGAATGGAGTAAAATATTTGCAAATTACCTATCTTATAAGACGTTTGTATCCAGAATATATAAAGAAATCTTAAAATTCAACAATACAAAAACAAACAACTCCTTTTAAAAAAATGGGCAAAGATCTGAAGTGGCACCTCACCAAAGAAGATACATAGAGGGTGGAATAAGCATATGATAATATGTTCAATGTTATTAGTTTTTAGGGAAATGCAAATTCAGATCACAGTGGGAGTACATTACATTAGAATAGCTAAAACAAAACAAAACCAATAGTTCCAAATGCTGCTGCTAATGCAGGGCAACCGGAACTCGAGTCCTAGTGGAATGCAACATGGTGCAGCCACTTTGGAAGACAGTTTGGCAGTTTCTTATAAAGGTAAACAGGCACTTGTCATCTGATTTACCAATCCTACTTTTAAGTATTTAACCAAGTAAACTGAAAACATAGACTCACAGAAAAACTTGTATGTGAATGTTTATAACAGCTTTATAGATAATTGCTAAAAACTAGAAACGCCCAGATGTCTTTCAATAGGAGAATGGATGAAGAAACTGTAGTAAATCCATAAAATGGAATACTGCTTAGCAATAAAAAGGAACAAACTCTTGATTCATGCAAATGAATGAATTTTAAATGCATTTTCTTAAATGAGAGAAGCCAGATGTAGAAGTCTATATGTTGTATGATTCCGTTATATGACATTCTGGAAAAGGAAAAACTATAAAAATGGAAAGCAGATCAGTAATAGAGAAGTGGAGGAGGGTTTGACTACAAAGGAACAGCATCAGGGAATTTTGGAAGTGACATTCTGAATGGTATTATTATGGTAGATGTATGATTTGATGATATGATTTGACTGTACATCACCAAGAATGAATTTTGCTTACGCAAATTTGAAAAAATAACCAGGATGTCAGTGGGAGCCAAGACAGAATACAGACTGTGACAAACAAATGCATGATATAACCACTAAAAGTGATGAGGAAGAAAGAAGCTGACCCACATAACTTTGGAAAACAGTATTTTAACTAGATACTGTGAGCCGAACGACCCAAACTGTACACAAACTATTTAGTCCAGTTGATAAATTTGCCTCCCACAGGGGTATGGGGTAGAAACTCTGAAACTACTTTGTAGGTATACTAGGACTGAACAAAAGAAATAAATGTATATTGTGGAAAGCAAATGGAAGATTTCTCATTACCAGAGAAAGAAGTTCATAAATAAGCAGGGGGAAGGCTAGAAAGAACCCTGTGGTTCCAGATAAGATTTAGAGATGTCAGAATGAACTCAAGTTTGTTTTAATGTGTATACATTTAGAAATAAACATAAATATAAATACATATGTGTGTGTGTGTGTGTGTTCATTGGTTAGTATACATTCTCTAGGAGGGTCTAGTAGTAGTGACACCCCGGTAGCAGGAAACATACTTAGCTCCCAGAACTTGGTTTCTGAATACCATTCTCCAATAAAAGGAATCAAATCTCCTTGAAGAAAGGGCTGAGGCAGGGAAAATAGAAGATGCGACTAGAGCATCTTGTGCTTTCAAAAAGTAAGAAAGGGAGGAAAAAAAGTCAAAACCATACAGGAATCAGCAAACTTAAAGATATTCCAATGACTAAAGCTACAATAATTTGAAGAACAAAAATAAATATATTATTGGATTATAACCCAAAGGATAAAATACATATTGATGAGTCCATGTTTGTATAAATAAATAAGATAGGACACTTCTTCCTTACAGAGAAATTCCTCCTAATAAATATAATTAGAATCAGAGAAATAGAAAATTACCACTAGAACATTATAGTAAAAATTTCTGCAGGCAAGATATGCTGATGAATGCTAAAATTGGTGGGCAAAAGTTTAAGGAGAAAGTTTTGCATCACCAGAAGTTACCTTTCTCTAAAATGTTTATTGATTACTGTGCTGGTTGTAATCATATGTCCATGAATTCTTTGATACATCTCCCTCCAGGAGGTGGAGCTTATTTCTTCTCCCCTTGGGTGACAGTTGGACTTAGTGACTCACTTCTAATCCATAGAGTAGGGAAAGGGAAAAAGCAACTATGCAGTGGAGAAACCTGGCAGAAAACTATCTTAACCAAGTCATCATGGTTAACATCACCAAGAACAAAGCATATTGATATCACGTACCTCCTTATCTGATGCACTGCAAAGGCCCCTCAACTCTGTGATGTTCTTCCCCAATTTCATAATTTCAGTCTAATCATGAAAAAATGTAGACAAACCCAAATTTAACCTGCAAATTATCTGACCAGTATTTTTCAAAATGTCAAAGTCATGAGAGACAATGATAACCTGAGGAACTGTCACAGATTGGAGGAAACTAAGGAGACACAACTAAATACAACATGGAACTCTGGATTGGACCTTGAAATGGAAGAAAGGACATTGGTGGAAAACTGGTGACATCTGAATAAAGTCTACAATGTAGTTAATGGTATTGTATCAATGTTAATTTCTTACTTTTGATCATTGGACCATGATTACGTAAGATGCTAACATTAGGGGAAGCTGGGTGAAGGGTATATGGCAACTCTGCACCATCTTTGCAAATCTTCTGTAAATACAAAAATATTTCAAAATAAACAGTTGTTTTCTAAAAAGGAAATATAACATTTTTTCAAATTTTGCACCTTTGATATCATCTAAATGTCAGCTCTTTGCTTCTTGGTCCTCAGAAACATCTTCAAAATGACTACAATGGGCTACTTTCTTTTTCCCAGAGAACATTGATCTTGCCCTTTGAATAATCTCAGCAGCAATGGTAAAAATAACAACAGTAGTTTCCATTTATTGAGTGCTTACTACATTCAAGGCCCTCTGCTGAATATTTTACCTAGATATCCACTCAATTCAGACTCTTACCAGTCCTATGAGGACATTCCATCCAATGTTATAGGTGTGGAAACTGAGGTAAAGAGAAGTTATGCCAAAGGCTGTATGATAAGCAGAAGTTGAACAAAATAGGATACAAACCGTTTAAAGACTCTTGGCTTCACAACCAGTGCTAATTATGACAATAATTAGAGTAATTAATATTTGCTATAGCATCAACTAATTTATTGAGTGCTATTTTGTTGAACTGCCTGTGAGGTAGTCATTTTTATTGTCTTCCTTTTATTGATGGGGAAACTGAACTCTGGAAAGTAAGCACCTTTCTAGGATCCAGAGCCAGCGAGCATGAGACTTCCCTCCCTTCTCCCATAGAGCTGGCCTCATTGTCTTTACAAAGATGTGTCTTTTCCTTCCACAACTGCCGAACTCAGGGGCTATACCGTATACATATTTTAAAATGATAAAACTGTGTTCTGACATTCATCCTGATTTCAAATTGCTTTAAAATCAAAGTGATTTAAAAATCCTTCCTGGTAAGTGCCGTGAGGCCCAGACTGCAGCTGTGGGAACACCACTGGGTCCCTGGATGTCATGTTAAGTGTCTCACATAATATTTCACATCATGATGCCACCTGAAATCTCCCCACCTACCAGCCTGTGTTGCAGGCAGTTTTTATCAATATAAACAGTTAGTACTCTTTATGTCACAGAGCCTTCCTTTCAAAAACCAAACAACAAAGCCATCCTGCAGAGGAATTTTCTTCCTACTTCCACACTCTGAAGTGAGCCCTAAGGTAAAAGCACCATCAAAGGCTCTCTCAGAAAAATAAATAAATAAACAAAGATACCACAAACAAGACAGGATGGCAGGAGGATACATTAAAAGTACTTTTTAGAGTTAACCAGCAGAGAAACTCCTGAGGCGGTAGGATAAGGATCACGTTGCCTCTGCTGAGGGTTCCCTTTCCAGCTTACTGCTTTCCAAAGTTGAGTCCTTGAGCTGAACATCAGGGAGCTATTTCGCACAGAAAGGGGCTGTTAAACTCACACTATGGCTGTCATTGATCTAGGTAAACATGCCTGGAGTCCCTCATCTTCATCTTAGTAGGGATGACTCTCCCGGAAAAGATTAGCCCATGGCCAAGTATAAGAAAACAATGGTACCATGTAACTCGGCAACCAGGTACCATGAGGCCAAGAACACTGAGGGTTGATGAAACCAGATGGGAAGGCAAAGCATCATGGGTATTGGAAACAGAACATATCTGAAAGCAGAACAATTAGCTATTGTTCACAAGTAGGGCTGATGAGAGCCTTTTTCAGTCCAATTTCTTATTTAATACCTCTCATTTATGAGTAGATAGGAAGGGAGTGTTTAAATGGAGGCAACCACATATAGCAGCAATATCTGTTTAGTCATTTAAAAAATATTTACTAAACACTCACCATGTACTAGGCATTATGCCAGATGCAGGAGTAGAAGGAATTCTAAGACATAGTCTCTGAATTTGAGGAACTCGTAGTCTGGTGGGGAAGACAGATTTGAAAACAAATAATTGCAATTCAGTATGATATGCCCCAATATAAAGGTGGGTGCCAGCTTATCAGAAGGATCCACAGAGGGTGGAATTTCCTTTACTGGAGGGAAGGGGATTCCAAGATTTTTTATAAAGATTTTTTTCCATGGAAATAGAAGTTATTGGTGTTCAACAATATTTGGTAAGATAGATTCATACACATCTGCAAGGGTGGTGTCATCTATTGTGAGACATAAAATTAATTTGAAATTCAGTTAACATTAATCTCATATTTACTGCTTCTTTTTGGCTATTTAACATAATTAAGCGAGCTCTTCTACACCATTAGCCTCCTAGACAGGTAAAAATCCTCCTGATCACCCCTACCCCATTTTTCCAGGCTTATCCCCAAATGCTCCATGTTTCCCCCTACGCCAAAGTGCCCATGCTCCTCAAATGTATTTCTCTGTGTCCTATCTCTGTGCTTTTGCATATACTAGTTCTTCTTCCTGGATTGTCTTCATAAACGCCTAATAAAATCCAATCCCCTCCTTTAGGGGTTCACCCAATATCGCTTCCTCTGAGAGCCGCCTGTTGGAAGTTCGTCTTCCTCTCTGAACGTCTAGAGTGCATTGCTTTGGTCTCCTTTATCTCTCACACTTCCTCGGGTGACAGTTCTTTCTGCCTCTAAATTACACATGATTGCAGATCAGGTTCCATGTGACTTTTCTAGGAGCCAGCACGATAGCTGGGACATTGAACGGATTCAGCACATACGACAAATAAATGCACTTGTAAAAAGAGATGACGACAAGCGGCTAGAAAACTTGACTTGACCAACCGTAAGCAAGTCAAAAACGCCCCGCAAAGGGACAAGATACATTCCAGAAGTACCCAGCAAAGAAAGGAGCACGAAGACGTTAGCGCCTTCCCAAACATCTGGTGAAACCCAGTGCGGGCGGACTTTGAGGGCATGGAACTTGTGCAGTCACACAGGACCCCATGACTGGTTGAATGCTCTACTATCAACATCGCGAACCTTAATAACTCTTGAATAAGGGGCCCTGCATTTTCATTTTCTCTGGGTCCTGCAGGTTATGTAGCTGATCTTGGATGCAGTTTAGGAAGTAGTTTCAAGATTCAGAAGAGTTAGTAAGAGCTAGTACATACTGGCTCTTTTTATAACCTGGAGATTAACAACTGAAAGTGCCAAGACTGTCTGCATTATGTCCCTGCTGAGGTCACAAAGATGCTATTTCCTTTCTGCTGTGGATCTTTTTTTTTTTCCCCCCAGAAACAATGCTGTGCCTCTAGTTAGCTGTGGGGAAATGGACGTAAGGTGGTATATTAGTTTGCTAAGGCTGGTATAACAAACTGGAGGCTTAAACAACAGAAATCTATCTCTCACAGTTCTGGAGGCTGCGAGTCCAAGATAAAGGCAGACTTGGTTCCTTCTGAGGGCTTTAAGACAGAATTTGTTCCATGCCTCTCTCCTAGCTTCTAGTAGCCTTGGGCGTTCCTTGGCTTACAGATGGTGTTTCCCTGTTTCTTTACACCTGTATGTGTCTGTTTCTGTGTCTAAATTTTCCCTTTTCATAAGAACACCAGTATGTTGGATTAGGTCTCACTTTAATGACCTCACTTTTACTTGATTGTCTCGGTAAATACCCAATTTCCAAATAAGGTCACATCTGAGACACCAGAAGTTGGACATATCATTTTTTTTGGGGGGGGGGGACATTATTCAACCCATAACAGGTGGATTTCTATCATACAGAATTATTTTTATATTAAATTCTCTTTTAAAGATTTTATTTTTCCTTTTATTCCCAAAGCCCCCCGGTACATAGCATGTATTTTTAGTTGTGGATCTTTCTCGTTGTGGCACATGGGATGCCGCCTCACTACGGTTTGATGAGCGGTCCCATGTCCAGGCCCAGGATTCGAACTGGTGAAACCCTGGGCCACCGAAGCGGAGCGCGTGGACTTAACCACTCGGCCACGGGTCCCGCCCCCTAAATTCTCTTTTAAATAAGGTTGAATTAAGTCCCTCATTTTGCTGTGGTATTATAAAGGTACTATGACTTCCCTACTCCTTTCCCTTAGAATTTTACTATTCAGAGGACATTAAAATCTCCTTTCTCTCATCACGTACAGGGGTGTCATTGGGATGTTTCCCCCACCATCAGCTTCACCTTCACACTAAGAGGTAACTGCTGCATCAGGTTGACTCCCTGGCTCATAGGGTTTAGCCATGTAAGAAGCACAGCCTTCTAGACGTGCAAGGGACCCTAAAGGTAGCTTAATACAATATCTTTATTTTACTAGTGAAGAAATCCAAGTCCAAGAGGTTAAAACAATTTGCTGTAGAGCCGTCAGCTATTAAAGTAGAAGTGGAATCAAAGGCATGGTGCTTAACTCCGAAGCGGGGAGCTTTTTAGTCTATCACAAATAAATTCTAAAATCTTTAGGTAGAAAAGTCCTCAGATACACACCACTTGTATTACCTCACCAGTGCTTACAACAGACAACGGAAATGAATCAACCAGGTTGGGTGTCACTAGTAGGGAGTCGTGGCAAATTGAAGAACACAAGCCGTTTCTCTGAAAGGCGGGAAGAGAGCAACCATTTCTCAGCCCAGCTGCTTACTTGTCCTGTGGAAGTATGTGCTCATTTTTCCAGGTCTTCTGTTACTTAAAGGAAACCTAAGAAACTGGATTTTTATTTAGAATTTTGCAACTTTTAAGTGTGGGCAAAAAAAAAATCAAATTTTAAGAAGCACTGTAAAAGCCAAATAAAATCCATCAGGGGACTTGGCCAATTGCAAGCTTCTGATTCATATCTTCTCCTTTCCTCTTACTCATCCAGTAATCTGTTTACACCTTGGATGTTTCGAGATTTAAGAGCACATCCTCAGAAACAAATGGAATCACCTTTGGCAATATGTATTCAAGGCTTTCTGTTGGATTTCCCCAGGCTTTCCTTTAAGGCTTTCATACCCAGAGTATATACGCCATTGTTAACTTTCAGGGCTGGTGTGTAACAGTAGCAAAGTTTGTTTAATTAGTAATCATCGGGGATATAGGATGTGTTTGAATTTCACAAAATGCCAGAAAGGTTTTATGAGAACGACGAAAATTTCCCAGTTTGGGTGATGGTTCAGGAATCCCACTCCTTGGAGGTGGACTTCCGGTTCAAATGTTTTAGGGCTAGGGCAGTCTAATGCCTAGTGTGATACTGTTCGTACAAGTGGTTTGTCATAAAATAGTGTCAGCACAGAGCTCAAACTTCATGTACTTATCTTCTCCTAATTCTCTGGAGCAAAGCGAATCTTGTTTTTAATCTCTAATTTAACTGACAGAGACTGAGTGAATAAATCTGTTTATTCCTTTAAAGAGCAAGTCACTCACTCATCCCAGCACAGAAGCCTGTCAGTTTTACATTCATCAATGACCCTTCCCCTGGATTTTCTACCTGTATAAAGCCATGCCTCCTTGGTCTGTCTGTCAGTGCTGTTAGGGTGGCGTGGGGGTGTTTTCCATATGGAAAGAATGACTTTTGACCTTTGAAGCGCTTGATCTGAAGGTGGCATTTCTTAGACAACTGATAATTGATTCTTTTCCTCCCTTTCTTTTCCCTTATTAGGCACGCAGGCGCGCTGGTGGTGTTTTCCATTCTTCACAGTGCAGAAATTGTGTGGAAGACAATAGGCTTGTTTCTAATTTGGTGTTTCCAAAAGCTTGGCAAAATAGAAATAAGTCTGTATTCAAAAGTTGAAAAAGAGCCTGTAAATAGCAATAACTGAAATTTGTGATTAAACAATTAACAAAAAAGAACCCTATGAAATCATTAAAAGTATAAAGAAGGAGGCGCTTCCTGCTTTATCATTACTGGGTTTGAACTGTTATTATTTAACATTGATTGAGCACAAGCCATGCGGGAGCCATTCTGTGAACAGCAGAGGAGGTAGAAATAGTCACTTCCCAGTAGTAGTCCCGTTGGCATTTCTCCCTAATAAGAAAACCTGAAAAAGTTTTAGGTAGCATTCTATGAAGACACAGAAACAAGGAAAAGGAATCTGGTCAACATGATTATTGGGAACTACGGTAAAGAGAACATGGACCTTCGAGCAAAACAAACAAACAAACAAAGTTGAGTCTGAATCTTGTCTTTTCTCTAGTCATCTCTGGGAACTTTAGCAAGTCCTTTATTTCTCTCAGTCTTAGTTTCTTCATCCGTAAAATGGGAGCAATATTATATTTCCTATGAAGTTTTCATGGGAGTTTATGATGATCCATGTAAAGAACATTCTAAATACTCAAGGAAAGACAGCCATTTTATTATGCTACTGTCTTTTTTATTGCTACTGTCTTCATTTATAACCATCTCATTGTTTTATAATATTGACTAATTCTAAGGATATTTAAATGTCATAAAGAATTTGAAAAAGAAGAATTTAAAGGGATCAGGGAGAAGTGAACCAGTCAGTTAGGATTATGTTATTTCATTTGGCTTTAAGCCACGCAAATGTTCAGCTGCCAGTTAAAAATGTACCACCTGCCTTCACCCTCTCTTTCATATATTCTTTAAAGTAGCTGGTGGGGAAGATATCCAGCTATACTTAGAGCATGCCTTTTAATTTGCAGTTTTGAACA